AGTTGCTGAAATTAAAAAGCTGCAGAGGCAGAGAAACCACAAAGCTCACAAGTGCAGCTCATGTCCTTGAGAAGAGCGTGAGCAAGGCACCTGTGTGCGGTGATGGACTTGAGCCTGGGTGGGTTACGGGGCAGGTAATGAGGACAGGACTGTGTAACAGGTGATCTAGTTTGGTTTTGGTCTGGAAGTCAAGCCTATGGCAGTTTTATCTTATCTTTTTATTGCTTAGGATATTGCAGCTCTGCAAGCTGTTATTCCTTAACTTGCAGGAAACAGAAACTCACAGCGAGCACTTAACACAATTCAGAACACTTTTGAACAATGCTGAGCTTAACATTGCAGCTGACAGATTTGCAGGGTTAGAGATTTTAATTGCCGATTCTGTCTGAATCCTATAGCTAGTTGAAAAAATTTGGGGGTGGAGAGGAGCTCAAAGTGACGAACAAACTGTGAAGGCAAAGAGCCTGCCCGGGCTGGCAGTGTTAGTGGTGGCTGTTTCCCTGTTGACATAGAGCTGGTCTTTGTTTTGTTCTTTGCACAGGAGGAATCATATAATATGTTGATAAAGCAAAGGATTTACTGTCAATGCTGGGTGGCTGGGCTGCTGAGGACAGACCTGATTGGAGCCGAATGTGGCCAAAACTGTCCCCTTCAGAGCTGTAAGGGACCACATATACACAACCCCCTGTGTGCTGCAAACCTGGCAACCTGAATTTTCCATCCTCTACCAGCACTTGAAGGTGCTCTCAGCGTAGCACCTCTGTAGCACAGCTCTCTTCTTGCAGGCATTCGCTGTGGCATGGAGCAGGTGGAGGTTCAGATGGAGTTTACTAGGCAGGCACAAACACCTTGGGGAAATGAGCAGCTGTGTTCGGGCTTGATGCAAGTGTAAAGCCAACAGAAACAAATGGAAACTCTCTCCTTGCCTATGATAAGGCACGTTGGACAAGACCATGAGGACAGAGGCACTGCACCTGACCTTTAGGGGGAGGATCTTGGCATTGGGTTCAAAATGTACCTGGGAAGGTAGAAGTGACTTTAGCCCTGCTTTGTTCCCCTTGGGAAGGCACTGACTGCCATGTCCTCTTAAAATATCACCTGGGGAACATTAGAAGCTGAGAAAGCTGCTGTAATACAGGCAGGCTTGAGCAGGAGAGAGCAAATGCTTAACAGATCAGAGGAGCATTCAATGTGCTTAACTCCAAAAGGGAAAACCAACTGCATCCTTGCTGGAGTGAGCAGAGAGCAAACATTTTCACAACTGACATGGACAAAGCAGCTACTGCTGAGGAATTACTTATTGCTTCAGTTCTTTTCTCTCTGAAAAGACCAACATCACATTCAGATGGCATGAAAATTGCTGTGCAACCCTTCTTTTAACCGCTATATAAATACACTGCTGGTAGTGCTTCCTGCTTGCACCTCCTCTGTTACTAACAGCAGCTGTGGGAATCCCTAAAGCCTCCCCCAGCGGCCTGCAAATGGGGAGCTGAATTAAGATCCTGCCACAGAAAATATCCTTGTGCTTTGAGTCCTGTCCTGTGGTGAAAACTGTGCAAAGCGCTCAGGGAATCTCAAGGTGCCCCAAAACCCCTCCTTCTCCTCTCCACCCATTATGCTGTTTCTGAAGGATTTCCACAGGGCACTGTGTATGTGGGTCCTCAGTGTTTATCTCAAAGAAACAGTTGTGGCTTTCACATAATGCACCCTAAAGTGTGCTGGCACTTTAATAGCCGATTGGCATATTAGCTCCACTTTTGCTTAGAAGGAAGTGATAAAATAGCTAATTTATACTGCCCCTTAATTACACAATGCAGAGTCACTGTGTTTTTTCCTGTTCTGTAGGATGGTGAAGCATGAAAGTTGGCTATTGTTGGGTACATGACGCTGTTCCCCTACTTTTCCTGCTCATGCAGGAAAATACAGTCTTTACTAGAAGTGTTTATGGAGCAGGAACACAGAAACTGCAGGGCAAATTGTCTGTCCTGAAACACAAGCAAGACATGAGCAGCACAGCTTCTGTGGTCTCCCAAATAAAAGAAAATGCCATTTTTTTACCGATCATAACTGACCAACAGTTCTTTACCAAATGACATCCAAGTGACGTCACCTCTATCAGAACGCCAGGGGTGAGATCAGCTCAGCCCAGCCCCACCTCCTGCTGTTGCCCCCAAGCCCTGAGGTGATGGAAGCAGGTGGCAAGAGTGGTGCCTGCATCACTGCAGTTGCAGCAGGACACACAGGACTTGAATCACCACTCCCCTGCTCCTTCAAAGGTCAAAAATCATTATTGCAAAGGTGCAGAAAAAAATTGCCTCGCCGCTCATAATAACCTATGCCAGGGAGGCGAAATGGAGCAGAGCCAAAGCAGTTAAGAGTGATTGAAGGCAACAGAAGCTGGGAAGGCAAGAAAAAAAAAAGCAGCTTGTACGTGGTTATTAAGCACTTACAATGTTCTCATGCAGCTTAGATAAGCAAACTGGAATTAAGCATCACAGTAGGCATCAGCCCCGGTGCTGTACTCTGCCTACAAGTGCATGAGGAGGCTGGGAGCACTTAGAAGCCAGGTTGACTGGAAACAGGTGTATTACGGGGAGGAGGAGGAATAGATGGGAAGGGCTGAAGGCTGCTCGTGATATGAACACACTACTGCCTCCCTTAGTCTAAAGGTCAGGGTGATTAAAGTCAAAAGACTACCTTCTGGCAGGGCTCACCTGCATGAGCAGATTTAATCATTCACGCAAGGGAGAGGGAGGCTCTCAGGCTCCCTGGGCAGGAAAGGAGTGAGAAAAGCATGAGGGGAGTGAGCACAGCTCAGGTTCCTTAGGCTCAGCGAGCTGCTGTTCCTCCACGCACAGGCGGCAAGTCCTTCTGGTGTCCCGGATCCAGCAGCACCCAAAGTGGTTCTTAGAAGCAGCGCTGAAAACTCTGTGAAAGTAATCTACTTGTTTGTTTTTCATCACATTACCTTTTAGTAGGGATCAAGTTGTAACCTGTGCTCTCCCAATCCCTCATCAGAAACCAGCTGCTGTGCTGCTGATACTCCCTCTCACCTCTCTGGACAGACAAGGGACTTCCCTGTGATTTCCAAGAATCAATTTTTATTCTCCAGCTAGACAGCAGTGACTGATAAAGTTCTCTTTATTACAGACCTACAAAAGGAGATCCATAAAATACTTCTATTTTCTTTTATAAAATTACAATGGGAGCCCATGGATTTGTGAAGGAGTTGTACCTGTCCCAGCAACAGGAGGACAGAGGGACAAAGAGGTTTCACAGACAAGGCAGAGACATTCTCAGCTTTAAACAAACCCACCCAGCGCAGGTATGTACTCACATCTTGCAGGGAGCAGCTGCCCTCTGCACTGGGATATCTGATTCTACGCAAAAAAAAAAACATTCCTCCTCTTAACTCAGCAGCAGCAGCAGCTCTGTGTGTCAGCTCTTTGCTGATAAACACAGGCTCCTAATTCCAGCCGCATTCCCCATTTTGAGAATAAGCAGCCCTGCTTCTCTGCGCCCTTTACAACTACTGCTGCTCAAGAGAAGGGGAAGGGGGAGTGGGAGGGAAGGGTTACAACACTGTCCATCTCCTAAAAACCCTAAACGAGAATAAAACCACAGGTTCTAGAAGGCAGGCAGTTCATGTGCCCCTTGGCTCTCCCAGGCAAGGAATGCACAGCGTGGATGTCTCCAGAGGCAGAGGTACAGCCACCCTTTTACTTCAGGCTCCGATGAGTTTCTTGAGGAATGCCTCCAGCTGATCCTCATCCTTTATGCCCACAAACTTATCCACAACATCTCCGTTCTTCATAGCCAGCACGGTTGGCACTGCTGACACCTGGGGGCAAGAGAAACAGAGGGACACAGGTGAGCAGAGGCTGCAGGGAGCACAGCTGCACCCAGGCCCCAAATAGAGCTCTGCAGAAGAAGAAATGGCTACAAGGGAGCTAAGCGTACACTGCTCAAGGGTAACACATCCACTCGCAAAACACAGGCCAGCTGAGCTCCATGTTCCTCCTCTCCCTGTGGCCTCATCTCTGCACTGACCACGTCGCACTGCTTAAGTCAAGGCTGAGCAGCTTTTTGAGTTTAAATAAGACCCAAGATTTTAAAGACAAAACTAAAGCTAATATAAAAACAAGGCAAAGCTTTTCCCCCCTTTTCAGCACAATTCCTTTTCTCCTTCCCTTTTGTCCTATCGTATGCAAACAAACCCAGCCTTTTACTAGGATACCTCTCAGACATGACAACCTTTGGACATTTTATGGCCAGGGTGGTGTCAGACTGTACCTGTGTTTTTCCAGACAGGACTGGAGCTGGAGGAAAGTCCTCCCCCATCACTGCATAGGCAGATTTCCTGCTCCATCCTATCACACTAGTGACAGCCCCCACCGGCCCATCTTTCCTTTTCTGCTCCTGTTTTCAGTGGTTTAGCTGGTCACACACCAGTGGCTGTCCATTGTGGAACCTTGGCGATTAGGTAAGAAGTGAAAAAGCCCCTCTGACCAGAGCCAGCAGGCAGCTGCACTGCTCAGGACACTGCTTTTTTAGCCCAGAACAAAGTTTTCTGGGAATTATCCAAGAGAGCAGCGGGGGAAATGACAATGCTCCCCACAGACTTGCCAGATGACCAGCGACATAGGAGACCCGGGGGACATGATTGAGAGAAGGAGCAACCAGAGCTTGGATAGCTGTGGTAGCAGAGAGATCCGGTCGTGTTTCTGTCCCCACAGCCTCGGTGCCCTTATCTCTATCTATCTATCCCAAAACATGTCCTGTCCTTATCCTGCTGCCTCCTCGCCAGCCTCTGGGGCCTCGTCGTGTGTGCTGCCAGCCCTGCTGCCAGCATGGATCTACAAATCCTTCCTCAGGAAACCTGCCAGAGGGCTGGCTTTTCTCCCACCCGGAGCCTGAGATGAAAAGGACATTTTGTGCTTCCCTTCCCACTGGGTCCTGGCTGGCGGGTCTGGTGTGGCTCCCCCAAGTCTGTCCCCCAGGGCTTGTGCAGTCTCATCTGAAGGGATGGGAGCGCCGGGGCTGCTGCAACACACGATCTTCAGCTCCTCCTAGTGACTGGGAAGGAGCAGATCCAGAGGGCTTGGGCCCCAGCACTGGCAATGGTGCTGCCAACACGCTTCTTTGTGATTTCAGGGGTGAGAAAGGATGGTACCAGCACTGCACACAACTGGTTTCTCCCTCCCTGAGAAGGGCAAAGCTCCACGAAGCCTCTCTCTGGAGTTGCCCCGGCTCCATCCAAAAAAACAGCATGTCCAACGAGCAACAGCAAGCATCTGGCCATTACAGCCTGGGTGAGGAACGGGCTACTCTTTGAAGCACTACAGAGAAGCAGCTAACACTGAGTTACAGGGCTCTGCATGCTGACCAGCGTGCCCACGAGCTTCACACAGACTCAGTCCCTCCACCTCTTCTCCTTTTCGTGCTGGTGAGCAAACCCCAAGAACGGGTGTCAGGTCTGGGGCTGGCGTTGCAGAACTGGGTGAGACCCAGGGGCATTGAGCAATTTACCTCTGCCCAGAAATCACGATGCTTTTGACAGCCTCCTTCCTGCTAGCTGCAGCAAGGGCAGCCCATTAACAGAATACGTACTTTGTTTTGCTGCTTGAGAAACAAATGTAATGGGAATTTCTAGAACACAAAGTTGGGGCCTTTTTTTTCCCCCCTCCCTTTCTTTTTTTATTGGGTCCCATCTGCACTAAACCTAAACAAACCCTCCTCCTCCCTCAAGAGCATTTCTAGAGAAAAAGTCAGGCTGCTTTTGATCAGTGCTGACCACAGAGAGAAATAAATGCAGCCATCCAGGCTATTCCTGGCAGCACCTGTACTGAGAGAATTCTCTCCCATCTGAACCTGGGGCTTTCATACAAGCTCAGATGCCACACAACGGAGCAGAGGGAAGGATTTCACCCAGGCTTCAGAATGAGGCATAACACAGGACCAAGCTCTGTTGATGAACGTGTGCGGGCAATGGGCCAAGGGTAAGAGATGAATCTAAAGAATTCTAGGGGATGGTAGATTACACAGAAGTATTCCTTCTCCCTTTCTGCTCTCAGGGTGAGAGGTCAGGAGCGGGCTGGAGCAGTGGAGAAAGGCCACAATTGGAGATGAAAGGTGTTAGATAAAAAGAAGAATCCCTAGAGAAAGAACTTTTGTGCTGGGCATAACAGGACAAGGAAGGGCGCTGGGGACGTTTCTAGTCACAGGAAATGCATCCCTGCTTCGTGCTAAACCGGAACAGCTAGAAGCCAAGGGCAGATGGCAATGTGTGTGAAGGAACGCACCAGCATTCCTTGGCTCTTCCGGGGGGTTCTCTCCCCTCCACCCTGCCTCCTCCCACACCAAGGAAGCTGCTGAAGAGGACGTTGTGCAAGCCAGGGGCTGCATGTGTGGGAAGGAGAATAAACATGGATGGAAGGAGACTACCTGGCAGCTAGTGGAGGAGTTGTGGGGGTGGCATGGGTGCTGAAAACCCCTGAGAAAAGAAAACTTTCTCAGCCTGCAGCATCTGATCCCCAACGGAATGGCTTTAAAATACAGAAGTCTTTCCTGATCCCTCCCAAATACCACCTTTGGTTTTCGTGTTCTCTTCCAAACACTACTTTTGGTCCCTCTTTGATCTTGACTTGGTGTCATCCCATCAGCCCTTATGCTCACACCTCCTTAAGCGGCAGCCTCACAGAGGATGAAGCAAAACCAAGCGCATGCTCAGCACATGAACCAAACTTCTGCCTCAAAAAGGATAGCCCAAACTATGAAGATCAAAGCAAAAATTTCTCCTTTAGCCCTACCCATTTGCAGCTATCATACTCACAGACACTGCTTAGGGATGGGGGTTTAGTGACAGGGATAATGGTCAAGACCAGATAACACGCATCACTCCGAGAGTGGAGGATGCAGTGACGATCCTGAGGCCCTCCTGCAAAACAAAAACTTCATCATGTTTGTACATAAGGCTCCAGAAGGAATTGCTGGAAGCTGGCCCTTGCCTGAAGCCCGAATCCTGCCTGCACCTATGCCGTCAGGGCTGCAAGACAGGCAGACCCTGCAGACAGACGTGCGTACAGGGCAGGCTGCGCAGCTGCTCACTCACTGTCCAGTGGGAGAGCACACGCAGCGTCATCAAACCTGCACAACCCGGGAGCTTTCAGCCTCTTTGTAAAGACCTTTTTTCACATGCACACACACTGTTTGCTGTTTTCCAGTCATCTGAGATTATCCTCTTGTAATCCCAGCTAATTCCATCTACTGTAAGGCTTCAAACAATACAAGAGTTAAACTAATAATCTCTATTCTCTTCTCCTTAGGGTGGTTGCTACCAGAGCCTTGCCTGCATCTATTAGGATTTACATAATTTCTGACCACCACAGAAACAACCTCACCCTCTTAAACTTCTTCTCACCAGCACCCTTGAGCTATGCGGCCTCCAAGCTTGCAACACAGAGCCCTGCTCACCAGCCAGCAGCCACCCTTGTTGGCCTGGGGCGTACCTGCCAGCACACCGCCAACGAGGAGAGCACCAGAGGCTCTCACGCTCGGTTTGTGGAAACTGCAAGTCACGTTTGTGTGCGCCAGCTGGGTGGACACTCCACCACAGCACAGTAAGAGTGGGAGGGAACAAGCTGTTTCCACTTCCTCCTTCTGGCACAGCAGGGTGTGGGAACGGCACAAAGCATCTCCTCCAGGCTCAACAAAATGACAGCTTGCTCAGGAGATGGTTCACACTTTCCTGGGCAACTTGAGGAGCTTCCTGTGCTTGCCTCCACCCTGGGAGCAGGACTTCATCTGCAGAGGGCTAGCAGCTCCATCTGCATGATACACGAGTGAAAATTAAGCACTTTCTTCCCTGTAAAACACAGCAGCAGGAAGCCTTGACTCCATAGACTGAGTTATTGTTTACAAGGAGAGACAACGGAGGTAAGCACAGTTGTCAGAGGAGTTTTTGCATTTCTTAAACTACCTAATTACTGACAAAGCAAAAAAAAATAAATCACGTAAACCAAAGCCATGGCCTTCTCCAGTCAGTTTCCTCCTTTCTGGGAGCAAGGCAGCACAGGGAACACACACCCAGCAGGCATGTGAGACACTAGTGTAAGCACCAAGGTCCATGCTTGTCAACAGCGGGATGCATGCTCACGTTGCTTATGTGTGGCCTCCAATATGGCTTCTATCTGTGCAAACAAAGCCCACAGTGTCTCCTGGTACTTCAGCTTAAGGACAAGACATTATCACCCAGCAAGATATCTTCAACAAGGAAGGGCAAGAGAGGTCGGGCTGGCTGCACAAAGAACCACGTTCGAGAGCAGAGCAGACTGGGGCTTGTTACTTCATGTTCCTGCCCTGCACCTGAGCAGCCCATGCACGCACCAAACACTGCAAAAAAATGCTGCAGGCTCCTTGAAGACACTGACAGACGCCTGCAAGGCTTAGCGGACACGTTTCTGCAGAATTAGAGGTGGGGATGCTGAGTGCAAGCAGCAGAGCTGGAGGAGAGCCAAGCAGAGAAATCCACCTACTAATAAGTGACCTGAGGGATCAGGAACCTGTAGGCACGGGGCTTCCCTTCCCACCAACGCCGCTGCTGTGCGGGCGCATCTCTCCACAGGGAGAGACCTTCTTTGCACTGCCAGCAAAAGAAAGTCTGCACTCTTCCAGCTCCTACCTCATATTCAATAGCAAGGTCTGTGTGATCATCAATGTCCACTTTGGCCATCAGCACCTTCCCCTCCTGCTTGGCCACCATCTTTTCCAACCTGGGGCCTAGGATCTTGCAGGGGCCACACCACCTGATGGAGAAAGAGAAGAGGGGGACATTAGAGGCAGCAAGTGCAGCAGCAGCTGTAGAAGGCTTGCTGGCATGCCAGTGCCTTTACCACCATCACCATTCCGTTCAAGAGCCAGCCTGGAAACACCATTCCCGAAGCATGGCTTAGAAAAATGCTTCTCTCACAAAGGAGTTGTCAAAGGGTTTTTTTTCCGTGTGTGTGTGGTGGTGGGGGCTGAGGGGAAGCAGAGGTCACCATTCAGCATTTGTGGTGCTTTTGATGTCATTTCTATCACACTGAAGTCTGCTCTGCCAGCCTTGGTGGTCCTTCTCTTCTCGGCCATTCATCTTTACTCTGCTTTGTGTCTTCACTGTTTTGTGCGTGCAGAGCTGTGACCCTGCTGACCACAAAGCTGCCCGAAAGCCAGTGTCGCTGCTGGGTGCAGGGGTCACAGCCCACGCTCAAATCAGTTCTTGCCAATCATCAGATCACAGGCTTCTCCTCCACACTCATTGCAGCAACAGCAGACTTTGTGAGGCTGTGTACACAGAAAACACCCCCTGCATCCTCTGACTGCAGCAGTTAGGTATGGTACTCAGTTCAAGGAAAACTTAGTTAAAGCTCTAAGTGCCCTCTTCTTTTAAAATTGAAGCTCTGGTAAATTTTGTTCCTCCTCAGCCTCCCTCTGTATCAGGTTTCAGGCTTTCAATTATTTGTCCTCTCCTCCCTGGATGATCCCAATTTGGGTTTGTCAGTTTGGTCTGTTTAGCACAGGAGTTTTCAGGCTGTTTCGTACTCTGACCAGAATCAGCCACAACAGGCTCACATGACAGCACTGTAGGACTATGAAAATACGTGAGAAAACAAAGATAATCAGTATCATTAATCCAGCAGATAACATCTAGGAAATTTTTTACTGGGAAGAGGATGACATTTTTATTGATGACAAATGCTGCTGCTGGTATCATGCAGCATGTACTAATACACGAAGATATTCGCTGTCAATAACTTTGCCTCAAGAGCATGCAGCATAAGAAAACTGGAAAGACACATGAAGGTGCAGGGGTATACCAACTGCAGTGTTCTTCCACAGCTGTTAATATAATTTAGTGTTTTTAAGAAGACATTTAATCCACAAAGCTAACAGAGAGAGACATCAGAGCTTTTTTTTTGAGGTGTCTTCTGCAGGATGATGCAATGCCGGGGCCAGCACTTGGGAGGTGCAGCTACATCACCCTGGGGAACGCCTTCCTGGCACTTATGTTTTATGCTCCTGCAGGGTGCAGTTACACCTACAGTGGTGCAACCCAATGACTGAAACCTCTATGGATTGTGCTGTAGGGGAAGCGGCTCCTTTTAACATCAGATGCCCAACAGGGTGGTTGGCAGCTCCACAGCTTGGGAAGCCCTCGGGCATACTCACAACCCCAGTGTGCCCAGAGTGCCACCATGTCAGGAAAGCAGCGGGAACACACCTGCACATGTGACAGCAGAGAGAGGCACAAGAGCCATGGGGGGAAACTTACTGTGCGTGGAAGTCCACCACAACGGGTTTGGGGTTGTTCACCACCCGGTCCTGGAAGTCACTGCCATCCTGCACGTTGAAGGTGCTGCTGCAGCCTGCTGAGGTGCTGAAGGCCCTGCCAGGGGGTTCCGGGGGGACACGCGGTGCCAGGGGGCCCTGTGGGGGCAGCACTCTAGGGGTGAGGGACAACAGCCGCCGGAGCCCCAGCCTCTGGGCCATCTGTGGGGAGAGGAGGAGATATGTGGGGTGGGTGCACCCCACAGTTGGTCCTATTGCAGCAGTGCCCCGCTCAGAGTGCCCTTCGTAGGACAGCCCCCAATCCATGAGGTGCCCTAGTCAGAAACA